CATCCAAAACGCAACAGACAAATTTATTTTTTGGCTATAAATGAAGTTGCTGGTTTTGCTGTTTGTTTGCAGAGATATCATTTGTTTTTGCAGAATCCAGCCCAGTGTATGCCCTAATTTCTGGTGCAGTTGCAAGGTTAATACCAACCTTTAATTCCCTCTAACAAGGACGGAGAGGTCCTGTGTTACTGTGACACTTCTTCACTGAACATTTCAATCTACTACAACACAATCAACAACACAACCTAAAAAAAACACATACACAGATGAGTGTTTCTGTGAAGTGACGTGAACTACACCAGCTGTACTGAAAATGAAGTTACACCTACAGTGACATGTCACACCCTGCGGTAAGACAATTACCACAACCTCACAAAGAACGTTAGAGTACTTTTAAGATTGACAGTGGAATAATGACGTGATCGAGGAGAAGGAAAGTATTTCGTCTCTTGGAGACAGGCGACTTACAACTACATCTGAAGTTTCAAAAGAGACTGTGACCAATCACATGGCAGCTCACGGAGTAGAAGAAGACCTTTCACCAATAACAAGGGTGTTACTCACATTGGCCGGTATACAACAACACTGTATACTCACAGTGGGATGAGTTAAAATAAATAAATAAATAACCTTTCTACGCAGTAATGAATCCAGTAAAGAAAACTTCTATATGAGTCTGTCAATACACTTTTAAAAATGAAACGACAGCCTCCAGTCATCTCGCACATATGAAACAAGTGTGTCTGACACTGATGCTCAACTGATGAGAGTGACCTCGCACAGAGAGTCGTCCTCAAAAACATGAGTCTATTATAATCCTTCAGCTGAAGTCAAACAACCAACTGTTCTCAGAGAAATCCTGCCTTTCTGCCTGTAGATATTTACAGCAGGTACAAATACTCTCACCGATCTATATTTCTCTTTGCAAACTTATTTTGTTGCTCTTTTACCTTTTGTAAACGCAATAATGCCTTTGATGTCTTTTAAATATCTGATAGGTTCTGTAATATGATATTTGTCGATACAGTTAATTAACATACACACAGTACACCACATACGGCAGAAAACTGCAAAGTAACAAATGCCATTTGCAGTCTTCTTTACACATTCATAACAACTTTCACACATTTAATCTACAGATGTTCACTCACATGTCAACACATTTAGATTTATAATAGAAATGCTTTAAAGAGAGGGCTACTTATTTTATTTACATCATGTCAGTGCCGTTTCATGAAGTGTGTTTATTTATTAAGTTTCTGTTTAGGCTTTTTTTTAACTTCTTGTTTGTAAAATTAAATATCAATGAAATTCAGTATTCATTTTAACACAGTTAAAGAAATGATTCTCTGAAGAAAAGAAAAAAAATATTTGTGTTTACATTTTTTGAATAAGGTCAAAAAATAATCTTCAAGTACATGAAATGTACTAGGTAAAATACTATTTGTATTCTGTAATAATCTTTGGTCTATGACAGGTTTAGTTACGTGTTTGACTTCAGATTTGAGTTTGTTTGTTTTCCTCAGAGTAAAACGATCTCCACCTTCCTGTGCAGCTGTCACTGCCCACCCCGGCCCTCCAACCTCCTCGTGTGATGTGTGCCGAGTGTTTTACCAAAGAACTAAGTGTGTGGACGTATTGATTGAGATACTTTCTGTTCCTAATGGGCCTCTTTATCTGTGCTTTAATAAAGGTAGTTACTCTGGAAAGGTCGCCTGTTAGTCCTCCGTGTTAAAAACACAGCTGCTCGCTGTGTCTCCGCTTGTTAACAATGGTCAACTGATGTGAAGCTCTCATGTGTAGGCTCACTGACTTTGAGATTTAAATATTAGATTGCAACGCCTCATTTGTTGTTCCTCATCTACTGTAAAAGTACTTCATACCTCAACCAAGGCAATATAAATATTATATTCCATTCATTTCGTTGGCTCACTCAGCTTGCACAACATTCAGTCAGTTAATTGACTTAGCGATACTGTTCATCTTGGCTGTTTGAAGTGTCAAAGCACAGGAGAAAAATCTTGGTATTAATCCAAGCATAAATGCATTGAGTGATGCTGACAGAACGTCTCTCAGCTTGTTAGTTTTCAGATGTGTCAAATTAACAGACCAAAACAACAGACAAGAAAAGAAGCTGTGAGAGAGACATTGTACCGACCTGTATATGTCATGTATGTCCATTACTTTAAATATTCAGATCCAAGTGCGTACATGGTACGCCTCATGGTTTTGGTGGCAGTTAATGACAACCAATGCCACTATGTGATACCACAGTGGGCATCAGGACAGCAATGATACACTACTTTGCTTTTAGAAATTAGACCCTCTCCTATATGACTTGGTGGGGCTGTGACATTTGCTTTATTACTATGTCAGCCAGACTGCAGAAATAATCTTGATATAAACTCAATGCAAAGGTTTAGATTTACGAAACTCCAACTGTTACATGGGCATGATGGATTGGACTGTAAACACTTTCTTTCTTTCTTCCGAGTGAAAATACAATGGACTTGATTTGCTCAAATAAAACTCCAATGTACTGTATGTAGTGTGACGTGTCAGAAATAAACTGTTATTATTTAACATACAGAAGTGGTGTGAAACATACTACCATTAGGAAAGTAGTGCTACCATCCAATCACTTGAAGCTTTTGTAAATCATGAGGCAGAAATAATGTAACTACGTATATATAAAAACATTCACAGAAAATCTCACCTCTTGTCATTTGACCTCAGTATAGATCATTTCTTTCTGGCTGACAATCTCAAGTACTGCCTTGAATATTAATAATGTGTGTTTGCAGATCAATTGTTTAAATATAAAGGTTATAACCAGACAGTGCTGTAAACACAAATGTAATCACTATATATGTACTAAAAACAGACAGATTTAACCTACTAACATAAGGAAAACAAGTCACTTGCCATCACGAGTTGTTTTCCAAAAAAAAGACAACGTGGCTCTTGGTGGTTCCACCCTGGGACTCTATCCCGACTGCTTCCTCAAGCCTATTGATTATTGGCTTTACTGATCCAGCCAACATCGTTCTTTCCATTAAGATGTACAGGAAAACTTTGTCTACTCTTGTAAGAAGATATTAAAGAGGGAGAAGAAGGGGGAGCAGGAGAAGCCTATTGATTCTGTGGACAGTGACTGTGATCACTTTGAACAGCCAGAGATCGACAAGCCGTCCCCAGGTAGACCAAAGCCTGGATCAGGCTGCGAGGAAAGCGGCCGACGGGCGTGTCCATCAGCAACAAACATTGTACAATTTGACAAAAACAAGAGGAGGTATTAACTGCGGTGTTCATCGATTCGTCAGCACTCACAATCTGGCCCTGTTCGATTTGTCCAGGAGCAGAGGCTGATCGTGGTTGACAACAGCAAAATGGACAGTGTAGGTCAACAGGGCGTCTTCAGTTTGAACACATTTGCGATGCAGGTTGTAGACAAACAAGGGATAAACTGAGGGAGGTGGAGATCGAAGTGAGGAGGAACGTACTGTGGACTGACAAAGTGAAAGAAGAAAATCCACAGCTCCACAGGGGATTGATTTAAAGAGTGTCATTAAAAGTCAAGACAGAGATTCCCTCCCGGCTTTACTGCCCACTGTGCACCAGGGCTCATTTTTTTCTAGACAGATCTGTGAACAGGCAGGAGATTTATTAAGAGCTGAGAGTCAGCTTTATGCTGTCGTGTACGACAGAATCTCACAAGTTGGGGGAGGTGAGGGGGGTCGACATTACCAACAGGAGTTCAGGTCTACACTGCTTTTTACTGCCCCAGACTGGGACTCCAGTTGAATGGAAGTTGTGTGACAGAAACTGCTGTCAAATCAGACAATAATGGAATTAAACTAAGGATAAAATAAACATTACAATAATCATAAAAAATATTTTGTCTCAATAGCATATTTCAAAATTAAAAACACAGTTCCCTCCCTTCTAGTAACCTGTATCTTAATCAACATTTCCATGTTTTAATAAACAAAATGAACACGCAAATAAACAAAATAAAAAGACTTGAGGTGAATAACGCCTCATTTATCTACTGTGCTGTTAAACTGAGACCAGGAATTAGCTCATTCAGAGCTAAGGCAGTGCCACATGTGTCTTCCCCCGTCTTTGTCCCTGATGTTGAAGTAAACACTACTGACACTGTTGTTCTACTCCAATAAACTACAAATGAAGGCAGTGACACACTGACACACAATAAAAAACACACAACAATTGTTGACCGGTGCACAACTGGTCAAAACACACACTACAACACACTACGGGGAATGGAATATTAGTAGGAATGAAGCATGGGATGAAGTATCTGGCTGGATACAGTACTGGTAGGACTATTAGGGCATCCATGTTTTAAAACCACAAGTTCACACATTGTTCCAATTATTTCTTTGTTTTTCTTTCTCCTTAACTTAGATTTCTTTTTTATGTACAATTAAAGATGTCGCTGCTGGAGACAAACTTTTTAAATGTGTGTTTATGCATAAAGAAAAGACAACCAGAGTGATAACGGTGTCTCTGTGAGCAGAAATGTCTACATTTCATTCAAAGTGAAGCCTCTCCTGATGGCCACCTGCTGGTTTATTGTTTAACACCATCCTGCTATGATAATTTGATTCTTTCTTTATAGGAGACTTTATATTTTTATGATTCTTGAACATTTAAAAGCAACTATTCTCTGAAATAAATTAATTCCTCAAATAAATAGCTGCCATTTAATAAGATAAAGAAATTGTTGTTATTTTATAGCATTGCATCTTATAGAAATTAATCTTTTTAAGGTGTAGAGCCGACACGGAGGTGTAGGTGTGTGAGATTTATTTTAATACAACACCAGCAGGGAGACACAGGCGGGTGAAGAATGGAAGGAGAGTACTTTGGAGGGGAGAGGGAGTGTGATCCAGCAACAGCAAAGAAGTAAAATATATATATTGGACTGAATTTCCATACATCTAGACACAGGGAGAAAAACATGGAGTCATGCTTACCCTTGGATGGCAGAACGTGAAAGAGTGACTGCAGATTGATGATGAAGAGGAGGTGAGAAGAGTGAGGTGAGTCACACAATCCAACACAGAAGAGTGGCACCGCCAGACAGGCATTGGAGAAATGGAAGTCAACAACCTGAAGCATAAACCAAAACAAACCAGAGAACAGTCAGAAGAGCAAAAACATTTCTCAAAATGTAGGCAAGACTGCTCAGAAGACTCTGTCCTTTAGAGTACTTTAGTAGTTTATCAATCATCCTAATACTCAAAACTGAGTGTTTTTTTTGTCCATTTGATACAGCTAAACAAATATTATTATTTCTATGGTAAGAGAAGAGCCAATCACATCAATCAGCAGGTGAGGCTGGGGTACATTCTGGGCAGTTCTGTAAAAAGACAGTCAGGCCAAAGAAAAAAAGTATCCAAAGAAAACTCAGGCACACGTGGAAAATCTGCAAAATCTCTACAAAAATTAATAAATCAAATTCAGCAAACACAAATGTGATTTGTCAAAGAGAATTGAACAGCAGAATAATGTGGCAGGGTCTGCTGAATGTAACCAGGGATGTTTGTTCCCTCTCACTCCTTAGGAGAATCTCATGTATACACAGTGGAGGTAAACACTTAATTCTGTTTGACTGCGTGTGGAGCGGAGCCAGGAGTGTCCAATTGTTTTCTGGGTTTGTTTACTTCAACTTCATCCACAGCTGACAGACCTGCACTCCAACACGGGCACTAGAAAATTAAATTTTATTCATGCGTACAGCTGAATTTTAACATGAAAATATAAGTAAAGTTAATAACCCAGCTGTGACAACAGTTCATTTCTGGGTGATGGATTAGAGTAACCAGACCTGGAGGAAGAACCATATAGTATTCCACTTGGTGTGTTCTAGGTGAAAGCCCAAGTATTTCACGAACACAAAACAGAACATACATTTGAAAAAAAGTAATATAATAATAATAATAATAATAAAATGGTTGAACACTGAAATATATTGCACTGTTGTTGTTGTTTTTGTTTTTTTGTACAGCAATTCCTGCATAAATGACATGAAGAAAACACTACATGGCCTCCTTCACAGCATTAGATCCCTGCTGAAAGCAGCCACAGTATCTACAACAGATTCACAAAGTTCTTTTCTTAAAACCTTTTCCTGAACTCTATTATGTTATGAAAGAAAAAACAAGCTACATGGTGTTTCAGCACATTTGTTATCCTAATATTTTTTTTTGTATTTATTTATGGTGCTGCCATTGTTCTGAATTGTTCAGGATATAACAATTTGCCCCATCTTTACTAGTGGGACTTTTTTCTCCTCTGAGGTCAGAATTCCCTGCTTTTTGGAATGCAGCATTAGAACTGGTCATCTTTAGGTAGATGTCAGGACAAGAGCAGTGGATTGAAGATAATAAAATAAATACCTTAATATTACTTTACACATATACACATTAGCGGAGAATATCTGTTTTATATTCCCTTGACAGTTAAAAGACATCAATTGAAAAATAATTTTACCTAAACCTAAACCTTTTTCCAGTAAATAAACTAAAAATCTAAAAATCCATAAACCTGGATAAAAGAAGAAAAAAAAAGTCAAACCTTGAAACTAGAGACAACAGCAAAGACCTGTGACAATCACCAAGCACTGCATTGAAAACACAGCTAAATACACACACACACACACACAGGTGGAGAGACAAAGAGAAACAGGTGCAGGTAATTAGGGTGGAGAAGGTAATCACAGAGGTAGTAACTTGACAGGAAGTAAAGGATGAAAAAAGAAAACCAAGATAAGACGAGTGCAAGAATCTACAGAGCAAACAGCTAATGCAAATCTTGTTTTTCTGATTCTTAAATAATCAACAAAACTAAAACAAATTAAAATTACCTCAATGGAAAAATTAAAACATTATTTGCATCTACTCACAGGCCAAGTTGGAGGGTGGGGATGTTTGTGAGTTTGAGACCTCTGACCTGAATAGAACTTTGATTTTTCTGCTCCTATATTCCATCATAGACAGAGGAATGAAGCCACACATATTGACACACAGACAGGTTGGAGACAGTGTCTGCGACTCTCACCACACAGAGCCATTATTCCGGCAGTAATTTGAGAACTCCCTTTGTAACGTGGTAATTATGGCAGATGGGGAGATTTTCACATTACAGTAGAATTGCTGATGGGTCAGTGGACTTCTGCAGTGGGAGGCACGAGGTCTGTGACCAGATTAACAGAACAACCTCTGAATGTTTTATCTCTGAGGAAAGTGAAGGTGGACACTTTGCTTTTCAATCATGGAGTCAATTACTCTGTCCATATGGGACGGCCGTCATTTGGATATTAGTGGCACGCACAGTCAGCATTAAGAGGGGGTGCGTCACAGCAGGGCTTTACCCCCGAACCCACGCTGCATCCCCAAAGGCTGCACTTATGAACACCTGACTGACTCTGATTTCAGGCTGTGCTCCCGGTGATAGCTTTGTCAAAGGCAACAGTGGAGGCAGGGTGGGAGGATGATGGAGGGTGAAGGAGCACCTGCTCCAAGAAGAACATCTGACATCTCCAGAGACTTCAGTAATTAGCATCGTATTCACACCAACAGTTATGTTTGCATGTCAACACAATGAGGATATAAATAATTAATTGAAGCTGTCAGTGGAAAGTCACGGATCTGTTCATGTAGAACCCTAAAGTCATGCACAGAGGAAGAGCAGAACCAACTCTGATGGTGAATCAATTCAATAAAGTTCCATCTATGTTGTTGCCATTCTGACCATGCTGTCACTGTATCGTTGCTTCAGTGAAATTGCCACAATGATAAGTGTCTGCTGCAACGGTCGAGTTCTAAGCAGACTTCAGCAGAGTTGGGCATTTGATTTATCAGGATGTATGAAACATCCTGGCCAGAAATAATTGTCTTCTTGTTCGCTGTATCTAGAGAAAAATCCTCAGTTCTTGCGGAGTATGTATCGAACTTGGTCCTTAAGATTCTACAGATCTTGACTTCAGCTTTTCTTAAATGATCTGGACTTTGAATCAAACCAATTACACTCAACTGCGCTGTCATACCGTGAGTAACATCACCTTTATGGTAAGGTCACAGTTCCTGTACATGTTTTCAAATAGAAGTTTTTAATACAGGATATTTTGTGCCCACATCTTGGCCATCGAGAACCATTAGTGATAAAAGACTTTTTAAAGCCGTGAGTTCTCTGCTACAGCAACTGCAGCCAGCTAACGAGGTTGATCACTTCTTTTATAAACAAGATATCTTTGCAGATTCCATAATAATTCCATGATAATTGATTCTGCCTCACGAAGCTGAAAGATAAACACCATAAAGAAGGACATTTTGACTTTGTTTTCTCATTATTGTCGCTTGTCCTCCCACGTTCCTCCTGGTTTAATCAACTGTCACAACATCAAACAGGTAGGTAACAGGTAAATAGGTAAAGTATTACATTTACAAGGAGACTGTTTCATAGACAGTTAGTTGTAGAAACTTTCAAAGGATGTATACCACATAAATGTGTGTGATCTTTTTTATACACTGCGCAGTGATGACTTTCTCAGCACGGTGACACAGGCCGGCAGATCGTAATGATCCCGCGAGGTCCCAGACAGCAGTAGATAATCCAAGTGATCAAAGGCTCTTAATGCAATATGAAGGTTTTTTAAAGGTCAGCTTCAGATCTGCCATTTCTCCTAAGTCCTGTGCTCTCCTCTGGCCTGTCAGCCATTAAAGGTCACATCATACCACTCTCCTTCAGACAAAAGATGGCAGACAGGGGCAGCAGGAAGAGGCCATTCTTCATCTAATAAGGGCCCCCAGAGCAGCGACTGGTGTTATACTACACGCTGTCGTAACAAATTCACAGCCAGCTCTCTCAGCACGACTTCTGCAGATTATAAAGGTTTGTCCTGCAGCCACTCAAATGATTAAAGTCACCTCGGCTCTGACTTCTCATATAGTGTCTCAGTAAATAATGACAAGCTGAAGCATGGACCATGAGTTGTCGCACTTTCAGAAAACAAAAGACAAGGACTATAATCAGAAAGACAAAGCCTTAGGTGGAGGCTGTTGTTACCACGGGGTCTAGTTACATTTATTTTAATGTTAATCTGACAGCTTGTCTGATGTCGGTTCTTACTTTTGGTTTTAACAGTAGTTACTTTACCTTGAAGCTAATAGTCTAAGCCATCTAACTTTATATTTCAGCTAGTTTTTACTCGTTAGGCATAATTATGAGAAATTTCTCATAATTGGCTGCCATTTATCTTCTAAGTGTACGATGACTTTAAGGTTTTTACCGGAATTGCTTTGAAGAGCTGTGTAAGTTAAAACATTTTCCTTCATTTCACCGTAGCTCTGCTTCAGACCATTTAAACATCTGCTTAACATCAGCTGGTGTGGATTAGTGAAAATGCTGTGCCTTTTTTTATGCCACATAATTATAGTCTTAAGTATCACAGAAGCAGCAGTTGGCCCTCGGGTACTTTTACATTATTGAATTTGGCCCCACTTTAAAAAAGGCTCGACACCCATGGATTACACAGCGTAATGGTGATAGAAAATGATACCGTCCATGTTTATATTGATCCCTTACAAGCCTCGCAGAGGAGCTGCATTGTTTTGTGAGCAAAACAGTGGAAAAGAATAGCATTGTGTCGGTATCTGTTTTTCACAGCAGGGCTGCTTATTATGATACAACATAACAGCAGCTCCGAGGACAAATACCTGTGTCCTTAAGTGTCCTTTACCACAGCCGCCAAGCAGGAAATGACAAGGACATAATAGTCGGCTGCTGTGTCCCTGAGGGCAATGCAAAAATATTTATGAAATTGAAAGCAGGACCTGAAGGTGTAATTTTGGATGATGCCCCACCTTCCCATGGCTTTTTTATTACAAATTTGAAATAAAGCAGCCTGTAAATTTTGTTTACTGCATGTTTTCCGTGGTTACTAATGTACGTAGGCTGTGAAAGCAGAATGTGTGAAAGTAATTTTATGCCCACTTGTTTGTTTGGTCTTATACAGTGTAAGTGTTTGTCTGAGCGGCTGACAGATCTGCTCTCATGTTAATAAAAGCCTGTTTGCCTGAAACATTGTGTTGTATGAGTGTCAGATTAATCTGAACACTTTCATTCTTTTTCATTTAGACATTAACATTCTGTTATGTGGAGGCATGGATAAAAGAGGGATCATTAAGCAATGAAATTAATTTAATTTATCTCCTGCAGCTGGTGGGAATCCAGCAGTGTTACGACGGCTCATTCAACCAAATAAATACAATACTGGTTTTCATCAATTTTCTTTTTTGTGGTGGGTAATATATTCATATAGTATATACAGTATATACAGTATATAATTTATATATACACATATATATATAAACATACACATAGATAGATAGACATTTTAATGGGATGTTTGTTAAAGTTTGATTGGCTGTGAACCATATCCCAATCTTGCAATAAGTGTTTTATCTGCAAAGGATTGTTAATAAATAATTCTCTTTTTGGACCAAGGTATCGGCCATGAAAAATGTGAATGAAAACACAAAGTCAAAGCTCACGATATCTATAGTGAGAAATGTGTTGAGCTACACATGGCCCTTTAATAGTTAAAGTAAGAGAGGTAATCTGATAGAAATAAAGTTAAAACATATTTATTAATTCTTTCAATGTTTGTAATTAACTGTTGTCACTCTATATGTCAGCTTCAGGGTATTTAACAAATTGTTATATACAAAATTATGACAGTAACTAATTTGGTCATTAGTCATTTAGTGATGCGTGAAGAATCTCCTTTTAATGATTTCATATAAATACAAGAACACAGTCCTAGTGCTAATGTCATTATAGGAGTTTGATTATACGTATTTTCTTACTCCACCCTAAGAAACATCTTCATTTATGTTTTATGTGTTGATACTAAGAAAATGAATATCTCCCCTTTTGTTCTAGAACATTAACTGTTAGAATAATCCTGTTGTGGTTCCTGATAGTTATAAATTAAATAACCGTCTTATACACAGTTTATGCTATACCCCGGGCAGAATTCCACTGGAGGACTCCAGTAATACCAGCAGGATCATTTCCTAACACACTGTCATTGTCATATCAGTCACCCTGCTTCGAGTGGATTGAGGAGTAAACAGCGATGGCCTTCACAAAAAGTCAAGATCTTTCATTTGTTTGGTAAGAAATACTGTCGGTTGTCAGCGCCTTAAAAATAACAGCAGTTATCTTTAACTGAAGGTCGTTTTAATGGCGACTCCGTCACAAAAGCAGTAAGACTGTTGATGGCGACTCTAAAGTGTAATGTGGCGGCTTGTTAAACACAGCTCCGAGTCGTCTGCCTGGGCAGATGTTTAATTTGTACAGAGGCCTGTGTGACCTACAGGTGGCTGCTGTGCAGCTGTTAAAGGGCACTGACTTTAACAAAGCTACAAAGGAGTCACAACAAGAGGCCATAACTTCACAGCACACACAGCAACACACCCACTTCACATACACATAAAGCATACAGTGACCCTGAAGGCTTCAACCTTCAACACTTAAAGAGTTTCTATTTCTTTTGCCAACAAATAAAACTTCACTAAGAGGAGCAAAAACATTTTAAATAATAGAAGTAGTCAAGTGTATGAAGCTTAAGAAATCGTATGCAAGTCAGCAAAGTTTAGATTAATTATGTTGTATGAATAGGTTACATTATATAAAACGTATAGCTATACCAGGAACAAACACACACACACACACACTGATTTATGCTTCCATATCTCCTACAACCGTGGAGTTTAAAATCACTTTTAACGCTCATTACTTAAAGAGAACAGAATTAGTTGGTGACAGCTGCAGCAGGATATTTGTCATGAGTGAAATGGAGATTTTACTGTTTGACATTAATGAATTACTCACTCACTCTGAAAAACATGTCGCTCATTACCAAGGCGATGTGCTCAAATCATGTAGCTGTAGTTCAAACGCAAGTGTTTTGTTGTTCAGTGACACACAGGTCACCTGTAGGCATGTAACCATAGTTACCGCCATCACAAAGGCCCACATCCAGACCCTACGTCAGAAAAGGTTTCAAACAGCTACAAACCAGTGTTTCTGAAAGAGATGGTCAAAGCCAGAGAGTGGGAGAATAAATTTAGGTGGAAAAACGAATGACGGAATGTTGTTCCTGCTGCAGCTCCTTGTGACGTATCCTGTATCTGTTTGTTGAAGAGGTTAAATGTTGTATTCCTACCACATAACATTCAGACAACTAAACACATTCCATAATACTAAGGTAGCGCTGTCAAAAAAATGATTCTTACTGGATCAAAGCCATCAGAGACTGTGTAACTCAGACGCCATCAGAGTTTGACGAATTAAATAATATTACAAATAATTCAAAAATGTACAACAACAAAACCAAAGATCATAAAAAATAACTTGTTTTATATCAAATTCTCTTGGTATCACTGCCAGATATATAAACAGGACAGATTGGACAGATTCATAACATAACGTTAGGCTCAGAGCTTTTTCATGTGTGGTAGTCAAAAAGTTTATAGAAAAAAATTCTTGAATATGACAAGCTATTTCTTTAAATTTTCTTCAGTTAAGTCTGAAAACTTCTGCTGCAAGCAGAGTTTTTATTAGAGAGTTGTTTATATGTGGAATTCTGGGAGATGTCTCGCTCAGCAGGTCACGACGGTTCAGTGCCTAGCTGAAGTA